ATCTGCGGCAAGGGCTCAAATAAAACAGTTATTTGGGTATTGAAGGAGGTTTCGAGGTGTTCCCGTAACACATTGTGTCAATTGTGGGCATTGTGGAGGCTTGCGATTCGATTCACATCAGTATGATTCGCGTGGTGCGGGGGGATGTGATTGACATGTCAATGTAGCTGGCCAGTTTGTAAGCCTTTGTACAGGAAGAGTTTGTGGCCACATGTGGGAGCTTGGAGTGGATACAGGACGAGCGAACGGTACATCTTTGTATAACAGAGTTGTCAATATGTGCAACGAAGTAATACTTATACAACTACTAATAAAAAAAAATAAAATGATTTTGGTTCTCTAATATATTAGCAGTATATTATTGTAACACAAATACATTTTGTAACCAATAATGGCTTTATGCTCTAAACGAGTTCTTTGGCTTTATCTATCATAATTTTTTTTATTTAAGTCACTGTAAGAAAAGAGTCACGTGCATTCTGTAAATACATTTTACTATTAATTGTTAGTATTCTTTCTGGGAAGCCTAAGGGCCAGAAATTGGCAGTATTTGTGCAGAGCTTAGGATAACAAACGCAACAAGCAAGTGACTCCCTGAACACTGGCCACGTATTGGTCAGCATCGGACTGTTATTGTTTGGGATAATCGACAGATCCCGTGGGACGATGACGAGCATTGACAACCTTGCATCTGCTAATGCAAGCAAATATCGCGACACAAGACACAGGCGACAGCGACTTGTGAGGATCCACTTTACTTAAAGGATACATCGAATAATAAAGACTTATTCAATTTTTAATGAAATAAAGCCTGTTAGTGCTCTAACACAGTAAGCATTATAACAAACATATTGTGTTGAAATGGCCAAGACTTGCACTCAATCTCCTGACCTGTGAGCCGCAGTCACAAGATCGCATCACTTGTACCACAGCCCCCACACAACAGTACCTGATCTTTTTGCGGATTATAATCCGCTAATAGTGGGCATTGTCCACAGATGACGGACACAGACTTAAGTAAAACGATTTCTTTTTGACAGCATGACTCTCGTTACAATCGTGGAGACCACGCAAAAACCGGGGACAACAAACAATGGGCAAGAGTTGGCAACCAGCTTCACGTTCTGGGAAACGCTGTAAATCATATTTGTGTAAGAATAACATTAATAACTACTGCGGTGATAACAATCAGCAAAATGTGCAACATTCTGGACAGAGAAAGACATTCTCGCATTGTGCGCGACACAAACGTAGGCTCTGCAAAAACGTACATCTTATTGCAAAGCTGGAATAATATTATCTAAAAATGCCATTGTGGTATTTCGTCTAGATATTTGGCTGTCCTGTATGGCCTACTTACAAACGTGCAGACGGATCACGTGATGGTCAGCAACCAACGCGCGACGCCACACAAGGAGACGGGTCACACCAGACATGTTACAAATGCGTTGCTGATTTTTACTTATTCGTTAATTCAAATAGATTAACGATTCAGCCACGCAAGTGTGAATAGACCAGCCGTGTCGCGGTCAGCGCGGGAGCTGCTGACTCATTGCAACCTTCGCACTACTCATGTGACGTGTGTGGTTGGCAGAATAAGTAGTAGCGTGTGTAGGTTCCAGCTCGTTCAATATTACCACAAGGAGTACAGTTATGGTGTTACAGTGTTGCGAGTCTTGCTCAGCCAACAATATCAATAGGTAATCACTAACTCAAACACTCAGAAACAAAAGTACAGTTATCTTGCCTGAAACGTAACGCAATATCTTTGTTTCTGCGAACCGTACCGATCCCAGGGGACTTAATCCGTGTCCACGCGGAAGGGTTCTCATCCAAATGACAGGCGCGCGACAAAACCCTTGCAAATATTATTGTACTCCGACGGATCATGCAAATATATTAGTTGGGTGCTGAGTAATTGGGTCGAGTTTTGCATGAGCTCACTCGCAGCTGCACTGTGATGCAGATGTTGATAGTCGGCTATACTTGACGGTTAGCGTGAGTTCCTATATACGCGCGCAATGTGTTCATATCGACGCACAACATCTTATTTAACGCAGGTATTTTGTACAATGACACAAAGAATTCCTATAGAGCGACAGAGACGAGCTCTGTGCGTGGTGGGCAATATGATCGCCAGAAAATTTTGTAGTGCTGCGCCTGACGTGAAAGTAACACTGTTTAAATCATTTTGTCAGACGTTCTACACGTGTCAACTCTGGACTAATTATACAAAAAAATCGCACAATGCCATCAGAGTCACATACAATAACGTCTACAGGCAACTCATGGGACTACCGAGAGGTTGCAACGCTTCGGGGATGTTTTTTGACGCTCGTATTGACACCTTTAATGCCATACAGCGCAAAAGGATAGCCTCCTTTATGTCCAGAGTTGGCATGTGTAAGAATGGTATTGTTAGGAGTTTGGCTGACCGCCTGCATTTGACTGCCACGTACAGACGATGGTTGGCTATAGTCACCTAATTTGCATTTTTTTTCCCAATTATTGTATTATTAATCAATTTATTTACATATACAATTATTAATTTGAATTTTTATTTTTATTTTGTTATATTTTATAATTCTATTTGTATTAATCAACTACTGTGCATGTAACTATGGATCTTAGAGTCTGAAATAAAGAGTTATTATTATGATTATTATTTAACTATCGCCTGCCGTCGAAGTGTTACACAGAACGTGAATGTATGACCATTACCAGTGTCACAAGCAAAGAGGAGATAGGGCAACTTTGTATAGAACTAATGAAGAGATTAACACAACACAAATCGAGGCTATAAATCTGAAATGCCGTACTTATGGGATATTTTCTTGTCGAAGTACACTTCATGGTGAGTAGAACCAGGCGAGATAGTGGCCAAACGTGCGACGGCCGATGAAATTGTAAACATGTGAGTGTTAGGTACTTAACCGGTACGTACTTTCTTTTTAACACCTAACAAACTACACATACCTATGACCTACGTAGGTACTAATTTCATGTCTTGCCAAATAAAGCAGAGCTTATCTATTTATAAGCAATTTTGACAGTCGAGACAAAGGCAGTGCAAGTGCAAGTAAACCACTATGTTGTAACGTTAAAGTTAACGTTATTTAAATCTTTCGGTTCAACAATTTGAAAAGGTTTTGGTGCAGTGACAGGATCATCTTGCATCATAGGATTAGTTTAAAACTACTTTCTTTGTACATTGTGTCGCCGGGGACAGAGTGCCAGTACTGCCGGTGGTCTCTGGGATTGTACAACTACAGAGACAGAGCTTTGAAGTAGCAGACCGCCAACACTGCACGAGACTACACTTACAAATTGA